CACACAGGTTAAATGTGTGAATTTCATGGGATGGTACTGGTAATTGAAGTTACATAAATCAGTGAAGCAACAAACATTAAAGAGGCCTTTCCATCTTTTCCCCCAGTTGACAATGGTTTCCAGCCCTCTAATTGCAACACGAACACGTTGATATAGTGGGATAGAAGACAACTCTGGTTACAAGGCATAAAATAGACCTTGAGCTTGAGTTTCTAGTACTGAAAGAAACTGACATTGGTTTCGCTTCCGTCACTGTCAGTACAGTCGAACCTCTCCATACGGACACTTCTAATACGGACAGTTTCTTATGTACTGACAAAATTCTCGTACATTTCCTCTAAAAAAGCTCTGTAATACGGACCCTCTCTAAGACGGGGAGGCGCGGTGGCCTCATGGTTAGTGGGCTCGTCCCCGGAGCGAGCGGTCTGGGTTCGAGTCCTGGCCGGGCAGATCAGATGGTGTTGTGGTCTTGGACAAGACACTTAACTCTCACAATGCCTCTCTCCATCCAGGAGTATAAATGGGTACCGGCGAATTGTTGGGGGAACCTAACAAAGTGCGGGGGCGTGACCTGCGATGGACTAGCATCCCGTCCAGGGGGAGTAGAAATACTCCTAGCCGCTTCACGCTACAGTAACCGGAATAAGCTCTGGCAGCTATGAGCCATCGGCTCCAAGGCTTCACATTCTCTAAAACGGACAACGGACACTAAATCTCGGCCCTAGGGAGCAAATTCATACAAATTTAACCTCTTTATTACGGACACTCCGGGGACCAGGTGTCGATAATTTACGGTATCTACCATTTCCCGTCGGCTATTATACAAACAATGACACTTTATCCTTAGATTCAGAAATTCACAAGACACTCACTTTTGGGCCTGATTTTAGATACTACACTCTCTAAACTGTCAGTGGAGACTTGAAAGTGACGTCACTACAGTGACCTCTCCAATACGGAAACTTCGCTCTGCCCCTTCGGTGTCCGTATCAGAGGTTCGACTGTAGTGCTTTTGGCTATTAGTCAAAGAGCTGCCGCCCGCTCCAAAGTTATTTCAGTTTCTGTGACTTCATGACATTGAACAAGGAGTCCCCCACTCAGCAGCGCATCTTAATAGAGCTACGGAGAGCTGCCTAATACAGAAAAGGCTAAGTTTACAATAAGTAAAGTTCATAAAGGAAAACAGGAACGATAAAAGAAGTGTCAAAAATAGCAATATACACAGCAGAAAACTGTCACTCACCTTCCCACACTGCGACCAACGATGCGAGAGAGAGCACAAGATCAGACTGCGCATCTTAATGCTGCCATTCACGCATACCCACAATTCCTTGCGCCTTTGATCTTAAGGCTACCACAATTCCTTGCGTTTTGCAAGAACGTGCAAGGCCCCTACATTGTGACCTTTTCCCCATTAGAGAGCTGCCTCGTTCGTTCGCTACAGGCTTACTCACTGCGGCAGCAATTAACCGAGAGTGAGGTCTTTACGGGAAAATCAGACCAAGACCTTACCGTGTTGACTGTGCGATAGCAAGGTCCATACGGCAAGATCGAGATTTCAGATTTTCTCGTAAAGAGCGAACGTTCGAGGTTAATAAGTTGCTTGTTATATGGATTTTGGCTTTGTTTTTGCGAGGCTGTAATCGCCCCGTGGGCATTACGGGAGAATAATGCCCTACAGTTGGCCAATCAGAGAGCGCATTATATCGGCTACAAGAACAAGCCATTTACAATGAAACATGTATTAAGCGGACCCCATATTAAGCGGACACTTTCCATTAAGTTGACACCAGCTGGAGTCCCTAAATTTTCTTCCCACAGTTACTGTAAAATAAACCTGCATTCAGCGGACACCTCTGTTAAGCGGACTCGGACAATAAGCTCGGCCAAACGTTGCAGACTGCCTTCAGCACTCTGAAGATAGCTAACTTTTTCAGAATGCTTTTATTACTTTTAGGTTATTTTCAGACCTGCTAGTGTTAATGTTTTGAACATATTCGAGGCCCTGTTAGGGGTTTTAGGGATAAGGAATAACTGACTAAATAATTATAGGGATAAGGGATAACTGAGATAGTTTTAGGGATGACAGAAAAATAGCTTTGATTTCTCAATTGTCACACGTTTGGTCACTTTTGCCAGGCAGAGCAAGGCCAAGTCATGTCATTTGTCGTCGGTCTGGTGAACGTTCCATATTAATGTTCCCATATCTCCTTCTTCACTGTTCACTTGAACTTTTATATTCAATGTCATCTGTTGTAGAAATACAACGTGACTGGGTCTTCGTGCTGGCAAGAGAACAGGACATCCCTGAACTTCTCTATAAGTGTCAGAAGCTGGGATCTTCTCAGATTCTCGTAATACATCACTTCCTCCAGGTGATGGTTTCCTCGAAAATAAGGCGTCAATCTAAAAAGAAATCTCTGTTTAGATTTAGATTGCGAGGGCTTTAAATTATCAATAATGAACAGATCGCGCTTTAGGGACGGAAAATTATTTTTTGAGGGAGGGGTTGTGCAATTTTCTGGGGCGTGAAATTTTTTCTCACCGTAATTGCCCATTCCCCCTCCCCACCCCCCTCAAAAAAATAATGAACCGTCCTTACATCATTCTTCCCACGACAAATGCGGATAGGTCCTTTAAAACCCCCGTCATCCGTCTGTTCAAGAAATGAAGAAAAAGCAAGCTGACTATAGTATATTTTCTGTTTCACGGAGATTGAACCTTGCAAACAACTGGACTCTCAAGAATCTGATACTGAGTTGTTTATATTATTTTTATGAACAAAGCAAATGTGCTATTTTTTAGAAGCGCATAAATGGCTCACTTCCGAACTATCTCAATGAACACTTAGTAATTAACAATACACAACATAACAGAAGCACGCGGTATGCCAGCAGAAGCATATCACCTCATATACTTCTGATGCCAGCTATAATTCTATCTGCCCTTATTATAAGCGTGAGACTGAAGGAGGCCGTTCTTTTGCTGTATCAGCTGTAAGACTTTGAAATAATGTGCCTCTAAATACCAGAAAATTAGACTCCGTTAAGTCCTTAAAAACTAATTTATTTAAAACGATCTTCGCAGCGCAGCAACATTTTGGACCATTTTAGGACTTACCTTTTTAAATTTAAGTTTTTAATCTTATTGTAATTAATATACTCGCGTCTCTCATAAGTTTAGGTTTTTAACTTTTATTATATTATATATTTGTATTCATAGTTTTATTTTCTGAGGGCCACAAGTTTATTAGCCTTTAGCTATGAAGTGTTTAACCCTCCTTAAATAAAGTCTTTATTATTCTTATTCTTATTCTTCTTATTATAAAGCCTCACCTAGTAAATAACTTTAAATCTTCCGAGTCTAATGCAGCCGGCACTTGTAACACACTCTTCCTTTCGGCGTATGTCAAACCCTTAAGTTCCTCTTCTAATTCGGGATGTGTTTCGTTTTCGTTCGGTTCCTGTTGGTCAGCGGCAAACGACGACAGATCATCCGGGAAACTGTCACCAAATATCCAGCGTACCCTGCGGCCTCCTCGACCCAGGCCTCCGTTTTTAACATCAGGCCACTGGTCAGATTGGACGGTAGGTACCAGGAACACATAAGTGTGAAGCTGTAGTATAGCAACAGTAAGTAGACGGATGTAAAGAAAAGAAAGTTACTAAAATCACTTGGAAAATTGTTTGCACCGTGCATAAAATTTTGCAATGGTTTAGGTTTACAGCCATACGCATCAGACAAACTTTGAACTTCCAGCACTTCATTCGTTTTTCGGTCGAATCACAATATGACCATTGAAACTCCTCGAGCCATTTAAGACAAAATTTACGTTTCTTCACCTGGGTATCATCCCCCCGATCTGTATCACTTTCAGGTTTCTTTAATGTTGAAGGCTGAACGATATCGAATAAACTCTTTTGTGTAGACATGACCCGACGAATAACAAAATGACGGCTCGAAGGACATGCCATGATGATCGCGGAGATTTCTGGGTAGGGCCCGCCAGACCCAGTTTCTTAACTAGTCGGAACTTTTTTCCTGCGTCCCAAGGACCAACTTTGCCAAAAAACCATGCATCCTTTTCATTTTTTGTACGTATAAGACGCACACCTGTGCGTTAATGGGAACTCTGAATACCAGCTTTCACGCCATACGACAACTACCTTCAGCTGTTATCTTTTTTTCTGGTTTTAGCCAGTATCTGGGGGCCACAGCCCTAAAAAAAATGTACCCAGGGTACTCCCGGAAAGTACGCAAAAGAACTTTATTCCTCCATCGTTTAAACGTCTCTCGGAAAGATTTACCATTTTTAAACGCTTCTGTGACGAGAAGTATGTACTATTACAGGAGGCAACTAAATAAACCTAGCTAAACCCAAGTTGTTCTGTGATTTACAGGTCTATTTCCGGATATTTTCATGGACAAAACGCAATACCTGTATCAGCAGCCTTCGTTGCAACATCCACACAACCATTTGCACTTGCTCAGCCTGGGAAAACGAACACAAATTATCCAAGTTTCAAACCCTGTGGCTTAACATCAAAGACAGACGTCAGTGGAAGATTA